AAAACCGCGGGTCATTGTTTAGATGCAGCTGAAGTCACTGTGAAATGTATTATATACGTGAATGAGACAATAAAAACTTTGATTTACTGTAAAACTATAGCTTTTAATATTTGATAGTTTTGCTTATCAGAAAGCAGTATTTTTAATAAAAATTTAACATTATTTATATTAGAAAACAAACTTTAGTATTCTTTGATGTTAGCTTCTTTTTGGTGGTCTTCATACTTGTTTCTTTTCGTTTGTTCCTTAAACATTTGTTTCCTTTCAGCACTACTTTTTTGCTTTTCAATATTATTTTTGTTATTAATCAAAAAAATTTTAGCGATATAAAGCTCCACCAAACTTTGTTTTATTTTTTTCTCACCTGCCACACAGTCAGCTAAAGCTACCCGTTTTGGTTTCCAAATAAAATTCACGTAAATCTATTAGCGTTGAAGGGTAAAGGAAGTATGAAGTGACAACCAAAATTTTGATAATACTTTAAATATCTAGTAGACAAGAAACTGGAAGATTATTTAAAAGTATGAAGAATATTTAAAAAGTTCAATTTTTTGTGCAGACTTTTAGAATATCAAATTTAAAATAAAGTAGCCGTCTAAAGAAACTTATGACAAATATTTATATATTAATATTGCTTTCAAACATGTCACTACTTTGTGGTAAGTATTACTTCTCATAGGTGTAAATCTATTAATGTATTTGACACAACTATTTTTTTCTGAAACAGTGGCAAAAATGAGTTGAAGAACGGTTGCTGTAGGAAGGTTTATGACTGCTCCATTATCTTAAAAAACTATGCTTAAAATTAAAATCTATAGCAGAGCCGAACATGGCATTAAATCTTTTCGTGCAAAAGTTTTATCAGAGTTTTGTAAAAGTACAGGACGTTCTTATCGTCTATTAAAAGCTACCTATGAATTCACTGGGCCACTGAAACCAGTGACTCGGCAAAACAACCACAATCGATTGATCACTTTTTCAAAATTTTTAGTTGAAACTATAGTTCATACATTGATCTTTTAAAGATTTTACTCATCACTAAACAATTTGACTAATTACAAAAAAATTTATTTATATTTCTCCTTATTGCTTCGCAAAAAAAGTGCATCATAGCAGTCCCTATTGAAAAGTTTTGAAGCAATAAAATCGTTTTCAAGTTTCTTTGGTCGACATACGTCTTCTGCTTCCTTCAAGCAACTACTCAAAAATTCTATTCTTGATTTCTTCAAGCTACCGTACCGAGAGTTGCGTTCTTACATGAGATCATGGTTTCAGAAGAAAAAACTTAACATTAGGCGCATTTTAATAGTGTCGTAATATTGTTCTGTATAACATCCATTTTAGAAGAATTTATTGCTTTTGCCACACACTCAGCAATTATTATTAAAGCATATATTTTGATCATTAATCACAGTTATCTGATGTTGTTCTCATAACTTTTACAGCAGTAGAATACTAGGATGCTTGCACGTTCAAGAGACTTTTTGAGCGCGGCACGAACTGTCGCAATTTGTGGTCGGACCCAGGCAACTCAAACTATTCCAGCGCCGGCTCCAGTTTGGCAAGAGCGACCTAAATACACACAGGTTTATCTTTCTTCTACGCTTTGGAAATTGCTATGATCTGTTTACATTTGTTTTTAGCGCTTTTTCTTCTTATGATGACATATACATTAGTGTAACTTCTGTTAGTTGACCACTAATCTGACAAATGCAAACAGACATTTGACACAAAAAAACAAGTTTGCTGCTATTTCGGTGCGAACCTTATTGAAAAAAAAATTTTTTTTGAATGGGCTGTTATTTTTTAAATGTCGCTGTGAAATAATTGTCTTTTATAGGAGGGCTTTTACTTCACGTACAAAAGGATTTTGAAAGATATAGTAGATAGAACTCATTTAGACCATGGGGTTTTTAAATGTCTTGATTTAATATTGGAAAAGTTTTTAGATTTATATTAGGTTTAATATTTTGTTCATTTTAATTTTTTTTCACTGATACATCTATTTTTTACTGCTGTCTAATTTTGTTTCTCATTACAAAATTTGCTAGCAGTTATAGACCATTTTAAAACTTGTTTCTTCGTGTTAAGCTTCTTTTCCATTTCTCAGCACTGTCTAAAGTCTTCTGTAAAACAGCTAAATATGCTGTACTCAAGTGGACTATTTCAGACCTGTAATTCTGTAACTGGAAATAAAGAAAAATACATTCCATACGTGCAAAATACGTCTGCCAAATTATTAAAAATATATTACAAGTTACGTCCATTTTAGATGGAGGTACAAAAGCGATAATTTTATCTACTATACATACTATTAATAATAATAATTCATACTCTTATTCCTATATGCCACTTGAAGTCTAAACATCTTATTACTGTGAGCTCTAAAATGCTGACTAATTCGAATAGTGAAGAACGTGTAAAACAATAATCTTTTCATCAGTTTTAGTTACTTAAGTTCTGGAAAAGATTTAATTTTTCCAGTTGTTCTGGCACACGACTTGGATGTATGGATTCTTCAAAATTAAAGGCAAAATTAGTTAGTCGAATCTGAAAGCTTTTTGGCCGTGCACGTCAAATTTGATTCAGAACTAGATGGTGAGCAAAGGTTGAAGATTTTTAAAACCGAAAGGGACGAATCCACACGTATGATGCTATTACGCTAATCATATTATTTTTTGGCTGTAACTTTTTTGTTTTCTTATCATCGTTCCATAGTCCTTGACTGTCTGGAATTGGTCTGTCGTATCGGCTGACTCCGGATTCGTAGGTGCGCACAGCTGACCCTTATAGTCTGTTTATTAATTAAGAATTCTGACTTTACCATAACAAGGGAAATTCCCGCTTAATGAATGCGTATCATCCATGAATTTTATTTTGAGTAACACCTTTTGAACGTCCTGGTCTTCAAGTAATCAATTTGTAAATTCATTCGTAAAAATTTACTCTTTTTAAACGCAGTTATCCGGGATAAGGAAATGAATTTTTTGTAGTAAAACAAAAAAGGCAGTGAGATTCGGAATCATCATTTAACACTTAATCATTATAGAAGCTGTACAAAAGTGATTTTTATTGTTCACCACTTCATATTTCAGCGCTGCGCAAAACATTGTAGTTGGTTGAGAATACTTGTTTACTCTAAAGTAATGGTGATTGGAGCTAAAAAACTTGTCATCCTGTCTGCTGCAAGGCGTATCAAACGCACTGAGAATAGCAGAGGTTCGTCAAGAGATAAATTTATGTGTATTTGCAGCTGTTTATAAATAATGAGTGGCGTGATGCGGCAAGTGGAAAATGGTTCCCGACCTATAATCCTGCAACTGGAGAAGAAATTTGCGAGATAGCTGAAGGCGAGTCACATGACGTAAACCTTGCTGTTGAAGTTAGTTTTTATTTCTGTTCTGGTCAGTGTTATAACAGGAAATAGAACAGTCTTAAGTCCTTCAAACTTTAACATTTCAAGTGACGAAAATGATAATGTTGTACCTAGCGAAAAAAAAAATTACACAGATTTCTTTTGGTTCTTTGTTATAATTATTTTTTTTAAGTTCTTTACTTTAATAAGGAGTTCGACTTGAATACAGCAAGCCATTTAGCAGAACATTTTATTGAGCGATGTACTAGGCTTCCTCTTTCAGGCAGCCAGAAATGCCTTTAACTTGGGTTCGCCTTGGCGTCGTATGGATGCTTCCGATCGTGGTAAACTGTTGAATAAACTTGCCGACCTGATGGAAAGGGATAAAGTTCTTCTCTCTGTTCGTCTCTTACGATTTTTTAACTGATGGTTTTGTTGAATTTAGGAAAACTGTCTCATCTTGTCTGGACTGAAGTATAAATGAATTCGCAACCTTGCTAAAATTCTGTTTGCTAACTGTTAATTATGTATATCCACCATATGTCAAGTTTTTTCCGACAAGTGTTATTCAGAGTCTTGAAACACTCGACAACGGGAAACCGTATGCGGTAGCTTACGTTGCTGATCTTCCATTGGCGATTCAATGTCTCAGGTTTGAGGTTACCTTCATGGTTGAGCTAATAATTTTTAGTGACTGATAGGACGTGAAAATTAGAAAGTTGCTGTGAGCAGTTTTTTTGGAGTTGGCAATTGTAGGTATTATGCTGGTTGGGCTGATAAGGTGCACGGTCAGACTATTCCTGTTAGAGGTGATTACTTCTGCTACACTCGTCAAGAGGCTATTGGAGTCTGTGGTCAGATAATACCAGTAATTAGTTTTAGTTTCTCACTGTTTGTGAGGGTGTTTTTGAGGTCGCACACTAGTTTTTTCTCGTATAGCGTCATTGCAAAGTGTTGTTTTTTCGAGATAAAGTCCTCTTATGCTTGAGAGTAACTACGTTGACCCGAATGAAGGTGGCTTTTTTCCAGTGGAATTTTCCCATACTGATGCAAGCATGGAAATTGGGACCTGCTCTTGCGATGGGCAACACAATTGTAATGAAACCTGCAGAACAAACTTCACTGTCTGCCCTTCATGTTGCATCCCTTATTAAAGAGGTTTGTCGATCCATCATTATGGAGCGTATACAACAAATTCTAAAACACTGTTTTCCTAGAATGGTACACCAGGAATTGGTTTCTTTAATGGTGACTTCTAAATGGTAATTTTTACTTCAGGCCGGTTTTCCTGAAGGTGTGGTAAACATTGTCACCGGGTATGGTCCTACTGCAGGCCACGCAATTGCTCAACATGAAGACGTTGACAAAATCGCATTTACTGGTTCAACTGCCATTGGGAAACTTATCATGGGAAGTGCTGCTGACAGTAATCTAAAAAAGTGGGGTTTTTTGTAACTTTTATGTTGGTTTAGAAAACTGGAGTTCAAGCAGTATTATATTACTACTCTGATTCGTAAGAATGCATTTGTCGTCTTTTGATGTTTAGAATCACTCTGGAACTGGGCGGGAAAAGTCCAAATATTATCTTCGCTGACTCTGACAGTAAGATTTTCTTCTTAAACTCTAGCGATTTGTTGTTTCTTGTCCATTTGTAGTTGGTTTTTTGTGTTTTCTGTTTTTTTTTCTGTAATTTTTTAGTGGACTTGGCGGTTCAGCAGGCGCATCTAGGATTGTTTTTTAATCATGGACAGACTTGTTGCGCTGGTTCTCGAACTTTTGTAGAAGCTAAAATTTACGACGAGTTTGTAGAACGTTCCAAAGCTTTGGCACAAAGTAAAGTCGTTGGAGATCCATTCGACCTCAAAACTGAACAAGGACCTCAAGTTTGTGAAAAATGTTATGCTTTGAATGAAAACCTAGTCTACTAAAAAGTAAGATCTACTAGAATTTTTCTTTTTTTTTGTAGATTGATGCAGACCAAATGGATCAAATATTAAATTACATCAAAGAGGGTGAAAAGGAAGGAGCAAAACTGGTTACTGGTGGAAAACGAGCGTTTGATAAAGGATTTTTTGTCGAACCAACTGTGTTTGCGGATGTCACGGACCAAATGGTTATCGCTCAAGAAGAGGTAACAAGTAAATTTACCATGGTGGTTCATTGACCAAAGAAGAAGTTTCTACGGTTGTTCAACTAACAGATTGTGTAAAATTATCGTTCGGTGTTCTATGAGATAAAAAACGCCCTGCTTTTAGATCTTTGGTCCTGTTATGTCCATAATAAAATTTGAAACTATGGAAGATTTAGTCCAGAAAGCAAACAATACTGTGTACGGATTGGCTGCTGGAGTCATGACAAAGGATATAGATAAGGCGCTTTTTATTGCGAACAACATTCGTGCTGGAACAGTATGGTAAGCATAAGTTTACCTTCTGCACAATGAAACAAGTTGGCTTTAAGTGAAGTGCAATTTTATGAATCAGAACAAATCAGCTGCTTTTGAATGCTAGGTTTCATATTTTAGGGTCAACTGTTATAATGTATTTGATGCTGCGGCACCGTTCGGAGGTTATAAGCTCTCAGGTTAGTAAATCGTGCATAGATAGTGGATGGTTTGATTATGGCTTTCCTTGGTTCTTTTAAACTTTATCTCCCACTTCATAAACTTTACTCATGTGTTTCTTTTCCGGTATTGGACGTGAACTCGGAGAGTATGGACTTCATGGATACACAGAAACGAAAACGGTGAGCAGATATGGCAATTAAATTTTGATTCTTTAAGCCTTACTGCTTTAATTGCTCATTTTCCTGAATCTTAAAAACTGTAATAACAAAACATTTATACCAAGCAAAACGTTATTCTTCTAGGTCGTCGTTAAAGTGCCAATGAAGAATTCATAAACCACAGTGTAAGAGCAAGCGTCAGTAGCATTTACTACAAATGCTCGGATTTCTAATGTATTTGTGCAGTAGTTTTTACTGCCATTGATCTCCTTCTGTTAAATTCAAAAGAACCCTTCTGTCTGGCATTAAAACTTTGCAATAAGGTTTTTTTGTATATTTTTGTGTAATTACTCCGAGGAAACTCGATGGTACGTCATTCACTTTAACGTTGTAATAAAATAGACGCAGTTAACAGCGAAATACTGACTTCAACATGCTTTATAATAAAGTAAATCTTTTTTTCAAAATTTTTTGGAAATCGAGACGGTTTTGAAATTTGCAATTATGATAGTGTGCTGAGGTGCCGTAGGGAGAGCAACTCTTTGTCTGACGGGCAGTAATCGTATTGGGCTTTGTTGCGGTTTCAAATGATGCTTTAACGTTTTATGATTAAAAATTAATGAAAATTATCGGTTGCATCAAGCTGGAAAATGGTCTGTTACTAATGAAAGTTTTTTGAGGATTGAGTTTGACTTCCAATTTTGTACAACCTACTATAAAAAATGATTGGTCGCTTGTTAAGTTATAGCACTGACCATCCCTTATTATGACTGTATCACGGTAACTTCGAAGATTTTTTATCAAAGCCTACCAGAATGGTTATCTAACGACGAACTGATCACACACGACGGGATACTAATTACTAAGAAAAGTTTAGTTACACCGATTATTTTAAGCAGCGACGTATTATCATCCTGATGAAAGTTGTGTATAGCTACTGATCCTGTTTATTAATTTCTCAATACTCCTTAGATACAGAACCAAGCAAATATAGAGGAGAACTCTTCTAGACTTAAGAATACTCTAGTTATGCAAATTTGGTAGGTAAAGCAGTTTTGCAAACACTTGTAGGCTTCGCTATACAGTAATTACAGTATGACCTTTAAGTTGAAAAATCTTGATATAACAAAAAAACGATATAAATAAGTTAAAATAATACAGTTGTGATAGAATACTCTTTTTTCTTTCTCTCCATGACATCTTCTCTACGAGTGGATTTCTTGGAATGGCTTCACAAGACCGCCCCTGTTCCCTTTTGTCGTAAATCTCTTAAAATGGATTTGCAGTAGTTAAAACTTTGAGTTTAACTGTATTCTACGGTAAGGTTGCGATATCTTCTTGGAAAAGACTAGCAACTTCAAAAATTCTTCAAATTTGAATCTCTTATTTTAGATTCCAGTTCTGTTGAAACCACCAATTTGGATTTCCTTCTGACGATTTGCAACCTGCTGTTAGCAAATCTTTATTTAAAAGTGTCCACACAAAGCAGTGCCAAATAATTAAAAATTATACAAGGTTTGTTATAATAAATAAATAATCTAACTCTAACTCGAGACTATAACTGGAATCAGATTTTAATGAAGAGAAGGAGATGAGAAATAAATCCTAATATTCAGACAAATATTAACTCGACTTTAGAAGTAAACCGAAAAGTGACAAGAAAGAACGATAAACACCAAGAAGCTGTTATCACTCTTAAAGAGTACACTTCTACATTTTATTAATATTTACTACCTGCTGACTAGGCTTTTAACTGAGGTAGTAAGGATCGAAAACTGTAAGGACAATAAGGCATCATATTTCCTCTTCACAGGATTTGAATACTACATTGCCTGACTCGCCTTAAATTTGGGTCAAGATTTTGACTTTGACGCTTTGAGGTTGAAAATATTAAGCCTCAGCGATAATCCAAAAACTCGTTTTGAAAATAAAAATTTTGGGTTGCTTGCTGTTGAATTCGACTCCTGTAGTTTCAGCCGAGAGTTTCGACAACGATACAAATAACAGGCAAAAAAAACCTACGCCTAAGGCAGAAGAAACGAAAGAAACTCCAAACTGTCGCCGAGCACGACTTGACAGAATAAAGAAAGATATTTTCAAAAAAACAAGCTTCGGAGAAGAGAGCAGTTATACGATCAAACTCATTTACACCGCGTACTCTTACTCAAAGAAGAATAGAGTGCCTTTATATGCTGTGATGCAGGTACACCACATTCTCATTACCTTCCAAAACCTTCCCTTTGGCAGCAGGCCATAGGTCGTGATCTTTAATGCTTGACGTTTAAGTAGTACAGGAAGTTTTAGGATGGAGTTAAGAGTGGACTGTCCTTTCGTTATGGTCAGGATAGCATAAAATGTTAGTTTTCAAAACAGTTTTATCTTTGGATGCTTTTAAGGGTTCTGGTCGTTACGTTAATTAGCAACACTTTTTAATAACATTTAGAATAAATGAGAAACTTTAAGATACAATACTACTTCCTTTTGGAATTACGAACCCTTGTTCTTGAAAAAGAGCTTCTTTTATTGCTGACGAAATGACATAACTGTAACTAGATGTTTCGGTGAAAGTTTAAACGACGGCTACGCCGAGCTATGTAATTGAGAATCGCGCTCAGGTAGTAGGAAGTTTCAGAAATAAGTTAAAACTTTTGAAATCTAGGCCAGTAATGGGGCAGTGAATTAGAAATCATTTAGGTGCTGAAGAATGCGGGCAAAAAAATCCGAATGGGATCATCTAGAAGCTAAAAATCGAACTGACTACTTTAAATACTTTACTTTCAAGCCGCTTTCACTCGCTCGGCAAGATGAAGGAGCTTTAGGGACCTGTCTCTCACCGGCTAAATCACTGTATGAAATACAGAAGCTAAGAACTTGGAGCGATTTCACTTCACTTCTTTGGTCGCACAAAAGAAAGCATGGGAGAAGACGGACTGCGACAATAAAGAAGAGATCCCGCTGAACACTTAGCGACTGACGTAGAAAACACAAAGAATTTTGTGACCTGAAGCAAGTGAAAAAACCCAGGGTAGCTTACCGGATTTGTTTTCTATGGTGGAATCATCCCCGGATTTATTGCATTCATTTATAATTCCGATACAGGCCGTGTCTTAGCGGCATCCAATTTTGCCGATGGACTTACTGCCTTCATAAATATACAGTACAATCTGTGTCAATGCTGTTTTTCCTCTTTGTTAAATCGTTTTGTTTTGTTAAGGAATGAAATGCGAATGCTTTGAGGCGGACCGGCAATAAGCTTATTTTTCCGTGCTTTCTCACTTTTTCAAGAACATATATACACATTTCATTACTTCCACGAGATCGTTTATCGTCTTACTTGAGTCATTTCCGCTATTTTCCTAATAAATGCGAATCCCGAGGAGTGACTGGGGTTTAATCTTTCAGAAATTGTGAGCTATCTTGGCACCGCGCCATTTCCAAAGTTCTTTTCGCTACGAGAAGCGGCAAAAGCAAATTAACAATTAAACCGGAGAAGGAAACTGTCTGGACCTTGTGTCTACTGTACGGGGTGTGCTGGGGTTATCGCATTGTGACAGCGCTGTATTTGCTTTAAGGTACTTCAATTGATGTTTAGCGAGCCAGGCTGATGGTCGTTTAGGTGGGTGATGTTTGAAGCGGTAATGTATCAGGTTTTTTGTTTAATACGTTTAGGAAAGAGGGGGTAACGCAGAGGATAATTTCTATGAAATTTTCTGATTGGTAGGTTTCTAAGGCCGTTTTCTTTTGTGATGTGAAAATCAGAAATTGAAATAGAGGTTGAGCACCTTTCTGCAAGCGACTTTAGTGATTTTTGTTTTTGACGTGAGGAAATGGGAGCGATTGTAAATTTATTCTAGTATTTTTTAAACGTTTTAATTGTTTGATGAAGTTTTTCAGTACTTGGGTAACCACTACAATCTTATATATATATTTTTTTTTTTAATAGAATCAATTTGCAGTTTTCTCACTGCTTTTCGCGAATGTGCACGGAAGTCGCATTCTTCAGATCACATGATTATGCTGTTGCCGACAAGTCAATATTGGACTTCTTGGCTGATGCCGATAGAAGTTCACTCAATATTTGGATCGTTTTTTTGGTAAGCTGCTAGGATCGTTTATTTGCAAGCCTTGATTTCTCTGAATCATCGATATTTAATTTTTTGTCCTGTCTTGTGTTTGCTACGCCGTTAAGTGTGAATCTGAATCACTTATAGTATTCAAACCTTATTTTTAGGGGGACTGTACAAAATGTCCTGGAATATATTTCTCTCTAGTTTCTGGAAGGAAAATCGTCCAGGATGGCATTCATGTTGAATCAGTTTTAGCCGAATGTCGGAATCCCAAATCGTCATCTTTAACCGGCATCGGTATCAATAAATGTTAGTTCTTATTGAATAAGTTTAGTTTGAAAGGTAACTCATATAAATGAGATTAATGGGTCGGTCAAATTTAATTGACACTGTGTGTCGGTCGTTGAAGAACATTTTGGGCGAACATCAGATATTTATAGTATTAAACATGTTTATTGCCTTTCAGTCGATTACCTACGACTTTACATGAATTTCTTCCCTGAGGATATGAAGGTCCACATTCGTGTAAAAGAAGGGGTTGCAAGAGAGGTTTTGCATATTAACGCGCATAACCCTTTAAAAGAGCCATTATTTCTAACGCTTCAAAGTAAAGAGTTCTTTTCATCTGATTCGGTAAAATAATTTTAGTATCTTTTCATTTTCCTTTACATTCACTTTACTCCATTTATATGTACATACGCTACGCTCCAAATTGCGTATTTTCTTTGGTTAATCCCAAGCGATTTTCGAAAGTAGCCAGCTTGTAGGTGTGGAGTCAGGATTGGGGAATCGGAGAAGTTTACCTAAGAAGTGTGTTAGAAGCAGAGTTAGACAGTATCGAAGTGTGAAAACTTTGCAGTGTGATTATTTTTGAGGGGTTGTAACTTTTTTCACCTGGGATAGGCTTATGTGACTTTCATTTCTTTTTATGTTTGTTTTTCTTGAAATCTGAGGAAAATGTTTGGTGGTTTGTGCTAAAAAGGTAGCAAAAAAAAGGATTTTTAAGTATTACATGTGGTACGATTTTAAAGTCTTTTCGTAAAAAATTATTTTAAAACTTTCTGGATAAAATATTAAGAGTGTAAATCAACTGCTGAGCGGGTCAGAAGTTGCAAGATGAAAAATGAAGCGAGATGGTAAAGTTCCTTGTATCCATAGTGTTTTAAGGTTTTTTGTTGTGCGGAAAAATTTTTTTGCAGTTCCGCTGGTCATAGAGCTTCAAAAAATTGTCAAAAGCAAAACAATTAAGTCCGATCTTTCACGTTTTGCACTGCATTTGAATTCATGCACTACAACGTGGGCCCAATTTTGGAATTTCCTGGGTTTGAACAAAAGAAATCAGTGTCGTCTAATTCGGACCACTTAACGGAGTGTAACTCTGAGGTCCGCTTTTGTTCTTTTTGAATTTATTTCATATCGGAGGGCGGGGGGTTCTGCACGAATTATCTTTTTAGAAGAAGATGGGGTTTTTGGTCGTTTACTCGTGTGATTTCATAGTTTACTTTTTTCTTCGGTTCGCTTGTATATTAACTGTATGTACTTTTTATGTTCTGATTTATTTATATGTCAGGTTTTTTGACTGTTGCAACTGTAATACCTGTGGGCAAAACTGCCTAACTTTAGAGTCAAAGGGAAGCCTGCGGCCTGCAGATTAAAAACTTAAGGAACATTTAAGTCTCGTTTATAAGTTCCCGGAATATGGGAGAAAGTGAACTGTGAAAGCTCGGAAAAAAATTTATGTGTACATTATATACATGTTTCGAGTACTTGAAGGGTGTTAAATTAAGCCTAATAACCAATTTAAAGAATAGTTTTCCGATATAGTTTTTTTCAGAAGACTTGTCAATTTGCCTTGCTCTTCCGTAAGGACTTTATCAAATTTCTTAATGCTTTGAAAGAAGGGAGAAGCATTGGCGTTCGCAACGACGCTGAGTGGGGGAAGTCATCTGACTTCTATTTACACCCTGTTTGCCTGGTCAACAGCAAAGCAGTGGAAAAACATGGAAGGAATACGGTGTGGATTTTGGCTTCATTAGTTTGAATTTTTATTCTAGTTCTGTGTTATGGCGGTTTTTTTCCAGTGGCAACCTCCGTTATGCTTTTCTTGCGTTGAAAATAGAGTACAAGTCGTCACGCAAGATTGCAACCATGCAATGTTTTGTGTTAAGTGTTACGAAACTTACCTTGCGCGAGAACGAGAACGGCTTGGCTTATTGCGCTCAAAAAATAAGATTGACAAAGATAGTGCTTTTGTCCGATGTCCGTTATGCAGAGATAAAAGTAAGCTTTGTTTCTCATTCGCAAATTTTTCGCTTTGTTAAACAGTTCGCTCTTTACTCTGTATCTTCCTTTAATTTACAGTTCGAAGTGTTGGTCGCATTTGGTTTGTGACAACAAGGTGTCTACTATGCGGCTGTAAAACTCTCGATGCTGTGGCTGGAGGTGTGGCAGGCTGTGGATGTGTTTTTGGATGTTATGGGGAAGCACAGAAGCTTATTCGAACTCAAAAGCCAAAGTGCCCCTACTGTGAAACTCCTCTAGTAGATGTCTTCCGAATCTACCTCCAAGGAGACACTTTGAATTAATGGTGGCTTCAGAATTCACAAGGCGTTAGAGTACGATTTAAAAAGCTTGGAACTTATTCTGCGTTACTTACTGCATCTTTTTAAGATACCTCTTGCCACAGATTTTTTGTCTAAAAAGGTTAGATGTGATGTTAGAGTCGTCTGCTTGTTCTTCGCTGTTATGTATTTCTTTGATGTTAATCGTTTAACAATGGGCATTTTTAATCAAAAAAATTTGTCCCTGTTGAAAGCAGTTATTTGTCTGCAACAGAAGCAGGGAAGTTTTGACTTGGGCTAAATCTGCTTGTCCCTTATAGCTGTACGAATTTAGATTGGTTTATACGCCCCGGCAAACATGCTGGTACCAACCAAAGTCTGTATGTTAATTGTGTATCTATTAATATAAAGTGATTTTGTCCAACGTGGTGCTAAACAATATTTTCTGGTTTAAGCTAGTTTTTCTAAATGGGAACTTGGATGAGCACTTGGCTGTGCGAAGCTTTTGCGGCAAGTTTGGAGTCAATTTGTGGATTTCCATTTCTCTTGTTCATTTTTTTTTTGTCCCTGTATTTGCAGTTTGACGTTGCGTTCTGCAGCTCTATGGTTTTATTCTTAACGGTATTTAGCATTTCTCCAACTTTGGAGCTTCTAAGGAATAGTAGATTTTGGAAGTTTGGTGAAATTATGTCCTACTCTGTTCGTTTAGAACTTCCAGGTTCTCTATTTTAACGGTGCCGCCCGTCGCATCTTCCTTCGTAGTGAGGTCGAGACTATTGGCTAGAAAGTGGCCTGTTATAACTGAGTGGTACTTAAGTTTTCAGTTCTTGCTTTTGCGTTTTAGGTGGGTTGAGCAGGGCAGTCAGATATAATTGGATATGACTGTTGTTCTTTAATTGTTGAAGAGCAATTCTTTTTGGGTGGTCCTCAGCAGAGAATTAGTATAATTTGTTACCTTCCATGGCGGAAGGTTAAAGTTGCTAGCGAGCTTTTTTTTTCAATGAAAGCTTGTCACTAGGATATCAGATACCAATAGTTTTTTTTTTATAACCAAAACTAGTCTCGCGACACGGTTGGCACCATGCGCGCGATGGAATTGCATCAAGACTGTACGACTTTTTTGATATTAGGTTCGCTTATTGCTTCTGTCGATGGGCATGGCAAGTAAGTCGGCGAAACATAGATTTGTTTGAGGAACAGTACTAACAGGTAAGGTTGAGGACGACGCGGATGCAGGTTCAACGGAAGACCAGCAGGAGTTCAAAGGAGGTCTTGGCTGTTGTCGACCGCGCTATAGTGACAGTGGATCCTGTATATAGGAAATTCAAAGATCCGTTATAGTACCAGAGCTTGTCCTGATTTGCGGGTAAGCAGAACTTGTTTTTTGGATGACAGTTCCTGGTGTCCATTATACCATCCACCCCCATCTACAAACGAGAACCAGATAATATCCGTCTTGGATGACTGCAAAGCTTGATCATCACCATAGTACGCCACAGGGGAACGTTTAGTGCTTTTGCAGAGCCTTGAAAAGTTACGGCAGGTAGGTAGTTGAGTATTTGGTCACTTCTTGCCTGTATGAAATTAACAACATGAGGAATGAAATTTTAGCTCATGTCATCAAAATGCTACGGGGGAAAGACTGACAATAGTATGAAGTTCAAACTGTGAAGTCCAAACTCACTACTCATTTCGTTCAAACACTTTAGATTAGCAAAGACTTGAACTCCTCGACCATCTGCTACCCGATATGACCTCTCTACAGGCGCTCCGGTAGTGCTTGCCAGTGCACGATTTCTGCAGCAAAAATTTCAAGATGTTGAATAGGACTACACAATCAGCAGTCTGCAGTGCCTTACGGGCCGTGTAAACCATTCATATTTGAGGATGTTAAGCATTGCCCTCTTCTTCTTTTCACATGGTCCTCCTATAGCCTGTAAAAGACTCACTCTTATTTTGCGCTCTCCTGGTTACTGTGGTCTGATTATCGATGATAACTGCTTTCATCGTTGAGCTCTTGTTCATTTTGAATTTGAAACAACAAACCCTCAAAAAGAGACGAAAAAAAAAAACAAAAAACAAAAAGAATTAAATTTTCAAACAACCCCGATAAATATCGATAGAGACCTTCGAAAAATCATCAGAAACCCCGAGGAGAAAGAAGTGATGTAACTGAAGGATTTCTACTTTACTATAAGTCCGAAGATAAAATAAAATATATAGATCTCTGAAAACAGCAAAAAACAAGAAGTTCAAGAACTAAAAGATGCTCCAAACTTCTTGCCACAGCTATCTAGCACATGTTAACCTTTTCCCTTAGAAAAGTCATCATTGCCATTAAGGAAGAGAACTGAATAATATCGGCTCTGTCGGAGCCAAGCGCTCTCACTCCCAAACAA